GCAGTCTTCTGATGGGGCCAGAAACCCAGAGACAAAGAACTATTTATCGACATGAACTGTCTTGCTTCCGAAGCTGGAATCCCTAGGACCAAGCTAATGAGGAGACTCGGTGCCAGGATGTCATATTGGATCAGGAAGGCCAAGCCATTAACAGTCTGTATGTCTGCGCTGAGGCCAGACTGGAGGAGATACAGAGCAAACATATACAGTGGCTTCTGAAAGACCTTAACACTTGACACTTGAACACCAAGACAATCACTGCGTTGAGCTGGGAGTGTGGGAAAGGGCTCAGGCCACAGAATGTTTCCTGAACAGATGGGCAGTGCTGATGTGGAGCAGCAGAAGCTGCTGGCTACAGCCCCAGGCAAAGGAGTGCTCACAAACTCCTGAGCCTAACTCTCAGGGCTTCCTATTGATGTTCCTGAAGGTGAGATGCAATCTCTCTCCTCTTTTCTAGCCCCATCTCTTCCAAAGGCCTCACTCAGTGCCCAATTACTGGCTTACGAGGGAGACACGTCCTTGATGTAGCAAGAGGTATCCCTTAGTTTTAGAATAATTAACTCCTTGAAAATCCAAACAGGAGGTGACATTTCTTTGCATGCCAGCCAGAATTCTCTTTGGATGTTTCCTGACTTTGGAACATCTTGGGGAGACTCAGCAGGTCAAGCACAGAAGAGGGCTTCAATCAATATCAGTACAGATAAAGACCACTGACATTCACTAGCTCCATCCAGAGCAATGCACTAAGCCCTTAACATTCATCACCTCACTTAAGCATCATAACTCTGTAACTTGGAAATATCACAAACCCCATTTTACTGGTGGGAAAACAGAGGGTGAGAGAGACTAGGGTTTGGAAGTTCTCAAAGTGCTGGTCCCAGGACCAGCAATATCAGCATCACCTGGGAACTTGTTAGAAATTAAGTTTCTCAGACCCCACCTCAGCTGTACTGACTCAGAAACTCTAGGGGTGGGGCAATCTGTCTTTTGGCAAGCCCTGAACACTCTAGTATGAGGACCCATAGACCAGACAACTTTTCCAAAACCACACAGTCAGTAGGATCCAGATACCAGCAGTTTGGCTCAAAAGCCCTGCTCTTAACTATTGTGCTATGAATTTACCTGGACCCAAAAAATAAGAACCTACCTACAATCGCACACTCGAAATTTAGAGAATTTTCAGGCATTAAAAGATGCTTAGCTTTTTAAAATAACTGGTCAGATTCACAAATGGGAATGAAAGGGAGAAGCAACCTGCCTCTTGTTCATTAAGGCCTTAGCTTCCTGCTCACTTCATATGGTACTGGTACATTCCTCAGGGGAACGGAGATTTCCTGTCTGTTCAACACTCCACTCCACCCTACCCACAAGAACACTCCCAGAGACTACACCCAGGCCTCATAGAATCATCATTTCACACCCAAGAGAATAGGAGGAGCAACTCAAAAGGAATGAAATGGAGAGTGGCTAACATGAAAAACTTAAAAAAAAGTGGAAGCATCAGTACTAGTTTCCTAGGGATAGTGTAACAAAGAACCACAAGCTTTGTGACTTACAACAATGAAAATTGATTGGTACACACACAGTAGTTACAAGTCTGAAATCAAGGTGTTGGTAGAGCCATACTCCCCTGAAAACGATGTGGGGGATGATGCTTCCTTACCTCTTCCAGCTGCTGGTGATTCCAGATGCTCCTTGGGTTGTGGCAACATAGTTCTTCCTATGTCTCTTCATATCATCTTCCCTCTAGCTATGTCTGTCTTTATATCCAAATTTCCCCTTGTTATAAGAACCTGCAAACACCTTAGTTATTTTGAATTAGGGGCCCACTCTATTCCATATAAGCTCATCTTAACTAACTATACCTACAAGGTCCTATTTCTAAATAAGGTCATATTCTGAGGTCTTGGGGGGTTAGGACTCAAACACAAATTTGGAGGGACATAACTTAACCTATAGTAGCATCTATTTTGAAGTTGGGGCTTAAACTACAGAACTTCCCATGCAACATATTTCAGAGAATTTTAGACTGACCTCCATTGAGGCCATCTACATGAGGGTGGTTTCTATCATGGCTGATGATTTGATTAGAATCACCTAGTATTTATTAAAATTAGAGCTACCCAAAGCTTCATCCTATACATTCTGAATCAGAAAGGGACTGAATGCCTCTTTGATTCTGATATGGCTAGCCCTTCAATGTCCTCAAAGTTTGAAAGCTCAGGTCTAGCCAACCATCACAGGAGGCTTGACATTCTGCCCCATTGTGACAGCCAAGTCTGAGGAAGTACTCCAGTTTCCTGCAACACCTTAGCCCCAGTGATGCCAATGATGAGTTTTAAGCTCAGACAAGTCACTCTGGAATATTCAAGGGGAGTGCCTAGGTCTTCCCCAGATTTATCTTCATCTTTAGGCCCCATATTATTACCACCATATTGGTTCACAGCCAGCACTAAAAGGTCAGAGAAACCTGACTTCTGAGTCAGATGATATCATTAGGTGGGAACCATATTAAACCAAATCCCCTGGGATTCATCCCCAATAATCCAATAACTTCTCTCCTTCAGAGAAGATAGGGCTGTCATTGAGAACTGGTGCCCAATCCAAGAAGGAAGACATCAAAGATACTTTCATGATTCTGAAATGATCCTGGGAGAGCAGCTGCATGGAAGTCACAGAGAGGAAATGTCAAAGAGAATTACCTCCACATCATGCCTCCTATACCATACTTCCTTCTCCAACCACTCCCCAGCAGCCCCAGAGCAGAGAAAATAATCATTATAACTGCACTCATCAGACAAGGCAGCAAAGAGCATGAGCCTTGGGCTGGGCATCCAGGCTGCTTAAATGCTTGCCTATTAGAGCCCCCATCTCTTCATCAGCTCCTTCACATCATTGATCTTATTTCACTACCTATGAACCCAGCCAAGAAAAGGTTTTGACTTATCAAAAGAATTTAGGTTCCATGGAATCCAAGGGCAGGAAAGACTCCATCTGGCCTAATGGGAACTGGAAAGCTATTAACTGTGGCTCTGTTTTTTAAGAACTCTACAACACATCTCTTCTTATGCCTTCTCGCTTCTGTCTCCCTCTTTCGCCACCAGAAGGCCTCCCCTGTCACTACCTAGGCGTATACAGTAGTTATCATAGTTGCCCTGGTTCCCAAAACCATACAACCTTTTAGCTGAGCTCCCCACTGCTCAAGAGTTCAATCCCTTAATGTTCCAATTCCTAGGAGAGGAGTCCAAGTCCATCATAGGCAAGATGACTTTACTTCCCTAATCAGCTGTGTTTGTGATGCAGATCACATAGCACAAGCCAAAAGGCACTTCAGCTGGCACCTCCTCAAGGGTCGTGGGTAGGTATAGTCAGCATAGAAGGGTTCTGGGGAAGGCAGGACCCAAGGCATGTGTACTAAAATAGTGATAAAAAGTCATTTTTAAGCATCTTAGTAGATAAGAGATGCTGAGCTATATGATCTATGATCCTTGCTTCAAACATTTAAGGTGGTTATGGCAGATATGACTACTGAGTTGAAGCAACTTGTCCAGGGTCACTCAGCTAGTAAGAGATGGATACAAATTCCAATTGAATTCTGCCAGTTTCCAAATGGTACCATTTCACCAACTCAGGAAAACATGAACCTTAACACCATCTACTCCAACTATCCCACCAAACTATAATCAACATAAAATGAAATCACAACCTGGAAATTGCCTTGGGAAAGCTGAACAGAAGTAAACATGAGGTCTGAATGTACCTGCTGCTACCATCCCACAGTGTGGTGTTGGCTCAACAAGCGTTTCCCTAAGGACGGCAGAATATTGGTTCAGCTCTGTTTCTGTGGCCACATGTGGCCAAGACCACAGCGGGGTCTTAGCAGCTGTCCAAGACCTCCTGAAAGAACTGCTTGTTGCTTACAATCCAGTGGTGTCACCCCACACAAACAGTATCTGAATTCTCAACCCTGAGCTGGGCACACCAAGGTGGGCAATTGTTTGAAAGGGGGTAACTTCTGATTTTCACTAAGAAACCTAGCCAAGAGAGTTGGTTAATTGGGTTTAAGTTGGCTATAACAGAGCACAGACCACAGTCACTGGCAACTCTCAAACATTAATGGCACCTTTCAAACCCCAAGATGAGGGCCATGCACATGGAGAGTCTGCCCCACAAAGGAGGTGGGTTTACAGGGATTTCTCCACAGTTGGCTATGGTAGAAATGAAAAGGATGATTGAGACTGTGAAGCAGGCCATGCTCTTTGGTGCTGATGTGGGTTCATTTTTTGTGTCAACTTGCTGGGCTATGGTGCCCAATTGTTTGGACAAATACTAATATAGACGTTGCTCGGAAGGTATTTTGCAGATGTGATCAACATCTATCCATGGACTTTAAGTAAAACAGATTACCCTGTCTAACATAGGTGGGATCAACATCTATCCATGGACTTTAAGTAAAACAGATTACCCTGTCTAACATAGGTGGGATTCATCTAACCAGTGGAAGAATGTCAAAGCAAACTCAAGGATTTCCCAGGAACAAAGGAATTCTAGCTTATGAAATTCTAGCTTATGAAATTCTGACTGAGCTTCCAGCCTGCTGGACCACCCAACACATCTCAGTCTAGAGACTTCAATAATAATACTCATCTGAATTTCCAGCAAGCCAGTCTACCCTACAGTCCCTTAAAATAAATCTCACTCATTTTTTCCTTTTTTGCTGGAGAACCCTAACTGACAGAGTCCTCAATAACTGGACCATTACTGATAATCTGATGATAGTCATCTCATACTGACTGAGTAGCTAAGGCAGATGGGACACTGGTCCAGACAAGGAGAAGGCTGCAATGTCCAGTGCAGGCATTATAGAGTGAGTCTCCTCCTCCTTCCACAGGCTCCTGTCTCTCCCCCAGAACTCAGGTAGAATCAGAGAGCTCACTCAGGCTGGTAGATAGACCCTTACTTCTCAATATACACACCAGCTGCATAGATCATCACCTAGATCAACTGAACTAGAACCTGCATTTTAACAAGATTTCTAGGCTATTCAAGTACACATAAAGTTTGAGAGGCATTGTAATTGAAGGCAGCCTGATTTTCCCAGAAAGAGCACTGAACCCAATGTTATAGATACGGGTGGAGTTCCTGATTGGACTCCAGCCAGCTCTGAGCACTTGGGCAAAACTAATGAGGAAACAGACATGTTTAGAAAAGTACAGATCACATTAGTAGTTTTACTACGTCCAAAGCACTGAACCAGGCACAGTGTTTATAATGACACTTCCAATCTTCCCATCAAACCAATGAGGAAGGTGCTATTGATAGTTCCATTTTACAAATGGCAAAACTGAAATGCAGAGGGATTACGGAATTTTCCCAAGGTCAAATGAATAGTTGATTCAGGATTTGAACTCAGGGGGCCTGGCTCCATAGACACATACTGCCTCTCAGATTCAAAGTACAAAGGGTCTCCCCCATGTTTCATCAGGGGTATAAGCCAAGTTCTAGCATGGGAGTAATTCTGTCTGTAGGATTCAAAGAACACTTCCTAAAGAAGGTAATTTTTGAAATGGTCTTTGAATGAGAGGTAGGAGTTTGCTAGGAGTTATAACCTGTGGTGACTTCCATGGTGACTGCTGCCATAATCAAGATAAAGCTGTTCATGCAGCCCAGTACTCCTGTGTCAATGCTGGTCCCTACACCACTCCCCAGCTTTCACCTGGTACCTGGTTTCTCCTCCTGGTGAGGGTTGTCCTTCAGAACATAGCCTTCCAAGACCCCCACACTATGTCAGGCTTCCCTCAGAGTTCTGCTAACACCAACTGCTTTCCTTCATGACACCTACACCAGTGTATAATTAAACACTTATGATGGGAGACTGTCTCATTAATATCTGCCTCTCCCACTAGACTGTGACTTTCTGTAGGCAGGGACTGTACCCGTTACACATACTTGTGAATCTCGGGTCGAGCCCAGTGCCCGGCACCATTCAGCACTCAGCAACTGTTAAGCAGAGGCACAGCAAGGATGGTGTGCAGCTCTCAGTAACCACCACCTCTCCTCTTGTCTTGCATAGGAGTCAGAAAACAAACTGAGACCCAAGGCAGAAAACCATCCTCCCTTGATTAATTAATGACAAACAAAAATGCTGCCAAACTTGCATATCTTGGGTTTATCCATTTCGACTCATTCCTAATTTTGAAGCCACAATGAGCACAGACAAATAGCTGTTGATCATCCTAGTGGCTGTTTCTTATACAAGGTTGCACTGTTATCCCCAAATATAAATCAAAAAGAATAAGATAAATGATGTGTTGGAATTTAAAACGTAGAACATACCCCAATAAGACTGTGGTTTCTTCAGCATTCAAGATCAAGAAGGAATGAAGCTAAGTCGAATCCTTCCATGTTTAAGGGACCACAAGGCTAGTTCAAACACAGCAGTGTTGACGTAAAGGAAAATTCTTCTGAGTTATATAATAGATTCAACCAGTTTTTTTTTGCAAGTAAATTCTATTTTCAACATGAAAACCTTCTTTCAGAGGCTGGTGCTGTTTTGATAAAGGACTGATTTAGTGGCAAATGAAAGGATCCTTTGCAATTCAGAGCCATACCTCATGTGGTCTGCTCAAAGACCCATTGCAAAGTCTTCATCCCAGGCCACTTGGCTATGATGGTGTTTAAATAAAGGCATCTCTTTTCCAAATCAAGTTGCCATTTATCAAAGCTTCAATTCTTCTCCTTTGGGTCCAGTGTCATGTTCATTCACTTGTTTACCAAGTCTCAGTTGGTCATTTTTAGCCCCAAATATAAACATGTCTCCAACTCTGAGTTAGGGCCAAGGATTTCTAAAAGCAAGTCAGACTTCAGAATGTTGTTCTTTCCTGTAGGAAGGGCTTATCTGATCCCATCACACACAAATTGACTTGTGAAAACAAACTCACTTGAAAACCAATAAGAAGCACAACTTTGGGACTGGTGACAGTGAAAACAAACCAGAAGGGTAGCTGTGAGTGCCACTGGCAGACATTGCCTTGATTCCCCAAATACAGCAAAGGATCTGCTAAGAGACATTCAACTCTCCTGCAATTCTGAATTGCCCAAAGCAAATGGAATTAAATCAGGGATATCCTTGAAATCTCTGGGTTGATTTGAATTAAGGAATAATTAATTGACTTCAGAAAGTAGGGATTCTCTGGACAAAGGAATGATCATGTTTACAGTGGCCCTTTGAGATGTTTTGAGTTTTGTTTCCTAGTTTGCTCAGAAAAAGACAGAAATTCTAGAAAATGAGAGGGAAAATTCCTCAATGCCCATTGTTAATACCCCTGCTAAGTCAGAGACTTCTTAAAGAAATGACTCACTTATGCTTCCGTTCAGTCATCTGCTTGCTGGCCTCATGCACCGAAGACAAGAGAAAGTTTGACATTTTCTCTGCTAGGCAAGTTCTGCTAAATATTTTTAATTCAGGGCGAGGTTATCTGTTTCTAGGAAGCCAACTCTTCCTCATTCAGCACTTTTCACAAGGCTTCCAGCCCTTAAACTTAAATTTAACCACTTAGACTAGGCACATCACAGTGGCAGCCTACTGGCAGAATCTAGCTGGCATACGTGTGTCTGTTGGCATAAGAGCATTTTTTAAACTAGATTTCCATGTCTTTGGACACACCACCCCTTTTATTATATATGCCTGGTCTACTTCACTAATAACATTATCCACTCACTGGCTTTGGAAGACATTTGAGCTCATTATCCCTCATAAAGATGGAAATAATTCTGAAAAGTGTTATGTCCTTCCTAGTCTCCTTAACAGAATATCTAGAAAATAACATAAGTGTCTCATCAAAACTTAAGGTGATCACTGTGAAACTCAGTGATTATGCCATGCAGAAGTGCCCTCATGAGTTATTTGGCTTTTATCTTGTCCTTTTCTCTCTGATTATTAATTATTTCATTTCACTGTTGCTAGTGTGACCACCACCACCATTACACACATACACACACACACACATAAATACACCAAACACATGCTGATTTTTGACACACACCAACACTTTCTAACCCTCCACTGTTCTGTGAACTAAGACAAAGGAGGTATTTTAGAGTAATTAGACTCTGGTTAGGAAATTCTTAAGGAAGATGTCTCCTTATAATAGCTAAAGCTTAGTGCAAGTTCCTCATTCACAATTTCGAGTGCTCAGAAGTCATCATTGTTCAGTTACATGCTCTGAAAAACAAAAAGTAAACACATGAGTCTTTCTAATGAAAGAGTTGGCAATTAAAATTTCTGCAAATTGGATTCCCATGAAGAATCAAAAACTCACTCACCGAACCAAATCAAAATCATGGCATGTGCGCTGACCTTCAGTTCTTGGCCATCACCGTTTACTATATAAAACAAACAACCAGAAGCAAACAGCCACAGATGCTACACCTTCAAGTTGATTAGGAGGCACCAAAAGCATATTTCACCCAGCACTATCCTCTGGGTCATTCTCACAAGCAGCAAGCCACTTTGCATTAACTGGACAACAATGGCCAAACCAGCCCAGCCAATATTCTCTTCTCGTTCCATACTAAGTCCCCAAAACAGCTATTGCAGAAGAGCTGGAGCTGCCTTGCTCCCCTCACATCCAGTCAGACCCACTGCACACCCCTGGCCCAAGTGTCAATCTCTTCTCAGCTACTTCACCACTGTGACTCCAGAACTGACCTTCTGAGCCCCATCTCTCCCTCAGCCATCCTGGCCAAACCTTCTAATCCTCTGCTCTCATTGATTGCTTCCATGTAGAGACACACTTCAGAGTGTTTCCCTTTACAGAGACAGTGAAAGACCACTTTCTTCAACTTCCCTCACCTGGCCATATCTCAGCCTCACTGCAGCCCCCAGCCCTTCTGGCCACCCATGCTTATCTCTCTGCTTTCCCACCACACCACCATTATGGCCACTTCATGCCCTTCTCATGCTCTGGGCCCTTCTAGAACACCATCTCTTTTCTTTTGCATCTGTGCAGATTCCGACTTTCATGTCTCCACTCAATAAGCCATTTTCAGCCACCCACCCCGTAAGAACCTTTTCATTCAATTCCTTATAGTTCCCAGTGTTTTAAGCGTTTCCTTTGCTCCCTACAGTCCTGGGCATAAGCCCTGGAACAGGGCAGGGGTCTTATCTCAAACTTCTTTGGTGGCTCCTGCCTAACTTCCTTCCCTCTAAATACAAACATGCTCAATGGACACAACTGACCTTGCACATGAAGACCCATAGAGGGGCAAGGTTTATATTTGGAGAAATTGCAGTGACTCTCCCAGAATGACACGTTGCCCTTCACGTTTCATAAGAGAAAGCATTTGTGGGCCAAGTTCCCAGATACCTACCAAAGAAAAGACAAGTCAGCTCCTCCCCTCCCCGCCACTCCAGGCTTGCCAGAGAGCATTTAAAATGCACTTCGGTGTGCTCCTCTTTTCTTTGGAAAGGAAGCAAGTCCTGACATTCTGTTTCTCCATTTCATTAAGGATGAAGGTCATCCTGGGAAGGGTAAGAGTAGTTTCCAAAGAGAACTTGTGAAGGAATCGGGCTGGGCTAGGGAACGCTCCCATCCCTGTCGTTAGCCAGCTTCGCCCTTTGAAGAGAACAAGCCCAGCTTTCACAGTGAGTCACTTTCAGCGAGGCCTCTGCCAGGACTTGGCTCTCCCTGCTGAGGCTATACAGAAGGACTGGGTGATAGCTCAAGGTCAGACAGGGTGTCCAGACAGAACTGGCGGGAGAAGGTGGCACTAAGACAGCTTGGAAGATACAGGAGTGAAGAGGGGATAAGGAATATGGCCAGGACCGGGTGTTCAGTGGAAGCCTGAGAAAAGCTGAACCTGAATATCTCTCCCAGCACCTTACCTTCTCTCTGTCTGTCCCATTCACACTCCTGCACAGAAATACATTCTTACTTCCTTCCCTTCTCTACTCCTCATGGAATTTCTATAAATAAACAATGAGACCCTGCCAGAGGCCCATTATTAACTCTTGCATGTTCTGGCTATAAATACATAAATTCTCACACTTTTACTCACTTCGTGCTTTGCAAAACACTTTCTCATATGTAATCTCCTCCTTATTTATACATCACACACTTTAAAAGTCCAATAGGCTCCTCCTTCGAAGTCCCATACACAGCACTGGGGATTTCGCTCTCCGCACCAGCTCCTGAAGCTCTTAGCCTTAAAATTACAAGCTTTAGCATGTGCTACTCAAAAAGTCTCCTATGATTTGGGTCACATATATCTTCTTTTTAATTTTTTTAATTGAAAAATAGTAATTGTATATATAGTTATATATACAATGGTAATTATATATACAATGGTAATCGCCTCACATGCTTACCATCTGTTGGTGGTAAAATCATTTAAAATTTATCTTAACAATATTGAAATATACATTATTATTAATTATAGTCACGGTGCTGTGTAGAAGATCACTGGAACTTTTTCATCCTGTGGAACTAGAACTGGATACCTTGACGAACATCTCTCCTTTCCCCATTCACCTCCACCTCCCTCAGCCTCCGGTAACCACCATTCTACTCTCTGCTTCTCTTTTTTCAATTTCACATATAAAGAGATCTTGCACTGTTTGTCTTTCTGTGCCTGGCTTATTTCACTTAACATCATGTCTTCCAGGTTCCTCCATATTGTCACAAATGACAGAATTTCCTTCTTTTTTTTAATGGCTGAATAACATTCCATTGTGTATATATGCCATGTTTTTTTATCCATATTAGATTGTTTTCATATCTTGGCTATTGTGAATAGTGCTGCAATAAACATGAGAGTTTAGATATTTCTTCAACATACTGGTTTTTAATTCATATGGGTTTATACCCTGCCGCAGTCTAGCTGGGCACAAATCACGAGCCACTCAAGCAGGAACAAACTTTATTTCCGAACTCCCACGAACGTCACCCATGAGGCCCTTCCAGGAACACCACACACCACCCCGAACTCCCTCCACTGGAATTTCACCAACCAACTCGAACTCCCCAGGAATCCCCGTGAGAACTCCAAAGTAGCAGGGCGCCCGCCCGAGGCGGACAGCAGAGGTCTATATACAATTGAACACACAGCCTGTTTCAATCCAGGATCATCCAGTCACAGCAATTAATCACAGCCTAATTTAATTATCATCTTAATGGCTCGCTGGCGTCACCTCTTAACCATTCCTTCTGGCGCCATCCCGACTCGGCTGTGGGTTTGCTTGAATCTATGGTAATTCTTCTTAGTTTTTTGAGGATCCTCCTTACTATTTTCCAAAATAGCTCATTGATGTTCCCACCAACAGTGTGTGAAGGTTCTCTTTTCTCCACATTCTCACCCACACTTCACCTTTTATCTTTTTTGATAATAACCATTCTAACGAGTGTAAAGTGATGTCCCATTGTGGTTTTGATTAGCATTTCCCTGATGATTAATGATGTTCAGCTTTCTTTTCATGTACCTGTTGACCATTTGTACATCTTCCTTTGGTAAATGTCTATTTAGGTTCTTTGCACATTTTAAAAATAGGGTTATTTGTTTTCTTGCTATTGAGTAGTTTGAGTTCCTTACATATTTTCAAGTCCCTTATCCAACACATGATTCACGAATTATTTTCTCCCAATCTGTGGGTTGTCTCTTTACTTTGTTAATTGTTTCCTTTGCTATGCACAAGCTCTTTAATTTGATGCCATCCAATTTGTCTATTTTTACTTTTATTTCCTGTTATTTTGGCGTCACATCCAAGAAATCAGTTCCCAAACCAATGTTGTAGCATTTTCCCCCTGTGTTTTCCTTTACTGGTTTTACAGTCTTGAGTCTTACATTTAGGTCTTTAACTACATATGCCTTGAAATGTAGTCCCCAATGTCATTTGTACCTCCCTAATAATCAGAATCCACCATCTATCAGACATTTTCTCTGACCCACATACTGCTCTAAGGTCTTTACATGCATGATCTCACTTAAATTCAGTAATAATCCTGAGAGGTTGATATGACTGAGGTGGTTCATAGATAAGAAAAGGGAAACTCTGCATGACTATGGGGCACCTTCTTAACCCCTGCCCTGAGGTCTTCTTGCTATGAGGCCTTTTGCATCTAGGATTCCAGAGCATCTCCTGGGATGAGGGCTAGTCAGACATCAGGAATACCAGGAGTAAAACCACTAGAATTTCCCCAAGCCTAATGCCGTGTCTTACTTTTTGCTTCAATAGCACTTATTTTGCTGGACTCTGTACTTGGCACTATGGACAGAGCAGTAAATAAGACAGACAGGTCCTGCCCTCATAGGGTTTACAACCTAGTTAGGAAGATGGTCTGGAAATGAGTACATGGTTAAACACGTGGACCAGTTCACCAAGAGGTTTCAAATCCACAGGCAATAAACATGATATAGATTTGACTCTTCACACTGTCCTCTACTGTGCTCTGTCAACTCACCTCCTTCTCTTTTTCCTCCCTTTTAAAATATCTCAGACACATTCCATTACTTCCTATCACTTTCCGTTATTCAAATTTAGACCAGACCACTTTAAATTCCCATTTCTTATCTAAAGTCCTCTGCCTTGTGTGCGTGACTTGCTGCTGGAGGGCCTTAGATGACTGGGGTGGGGTCTGCTCTGCATTCCCCTCCCTACCTGGCTCTCTGGCTGTGGTTTGCTCTGCACTGGGGGCAGGAAGGGGAAGGGGACTTGAGCAATTCCTCCCCACCCCCAGCTCTGGCTACCTGATATGTACCTCAGAGACCCTGGCTGCAGGACAGCCCCTCATCCAGAAGCAGGACGCCTTAGGGGGGAGCCAGCAAGTCACCACAGGCCCAGCACTTTCCTTAGTGTCCTTCTGACCCATGTAAATTCAGCCATCCTGCTGTGGCAAGCCCTGGGAGAGAGCCAGGCCCATCACCAGAGTTTCTCTCAGCCCTTCCTTCCTTCTCCACTCTTCCTTCCCCCTAGATGGAAAAGACAGCAGAACTGTTACCCAGGAAGATGTTCAGGCAGACAAGAAATATGTTAGTGATTCCTTTAACATGCCCCCAACTCTTCCTGGGTGTGGAGGAGGGGGGAAAACAGTCCTTCCCCAACCCCTGGGTGAGTTCTATCACCAGGAATTCTGTACCTACCACAAACTGAGGACTCTGAGGACCCAGCCCTCTTCTCCAGCTCAGCCTTCTCCTAATAGACCTGGGACTGGGGGGTGAGTCAGTGATATTCACACCAGTTCCACGCCAATTGTTGAAGACTGGTTAAGAGCTCTCTTTAGAATGAGAGCTAAGCACGTCTAGTATCACCTTTGGGTATTGGCAGCCATTCCAAGATGACAATAAAAAAAAGTCTCCCTCAACCCCCTGTAACCCATACAATTGTCATGCGAGACATGTAATGAAGGAAAAGAACAGGAAATGTCGCACGCTCTGGAATCACACTTCTTGGGATCAACTCCAGATCTGGCCCTTACTGACTTTGGGAAGTAACTTAACCTCTCTGTAACTCAGCTTTCTCATTTGTAAAATGGTGATGATAATAGTACACACCTCATAAGATTAAAATAAGAAAATGTAAATATAATTCATAATACACTGCCTGATACAGTAACAAATTCTCAATATTTTTCTGTTTCATAAGGACATGGATTGAGGGATACAGGCACTTCCTAGCCACTCAACGACATTTGGTGAAGTAAAGAATAATGGGCAATTGATTATGAGATTGGTTAGTCAGAGAACACCAATATGAAAAGGGACACTTAAGCTTTGACGTGAAGGATGAAGGAGAAGTCAGCCAAATGCAGGAAGAACAAAATGAACACTGAGGTTAGTCACTTTATGCCACTTTGTGGTAAAATTTCTCCCAAGTACAATTTTGGCAGATTGTACTAGGATCATATTACATAATCGACCTAGAAAAGTTGCTTTTGATATGTTAATACAATGTGTAAATACAAGGTTATAAGATATTAATTCTCTCTGGACCAAAGATCTTGAGAACTCCCAGAAGACAAAGTCCTCCGTGTGCCTCACCTACATCATGCAGCCAGTGTTTCCACCATATTCTCTGCTGGTGGACTGGTCAGGCATCTTCTAGAAGCCCCCAGCTTTCCAGGACACACTTCCTATCTGTAGAGGAAATCCAGAGACCAAATCTCTCCACTTCCTCTGTAATATCACTCCAGGGCATGGTCTCTGCTCCCCATCCAAGGTGAGCCTGTAGAACTCTACAGAAGCCTGACTCCATCCACTGGGCCATGTCCCCACAGTGTTCTATACGGATAGCAGACAGTTGCTACTCCACCTTTTAAGAGATGAATGGAGAACAGCCAGAACAAAGAA